CCCAACGAGCCCTCCCACTAGCGCCCGGGAAACGAAACCGGCCCCGCCCGCCTGTCAGGGGCGAGAGGCCAGATCTCGCGAGGCCTGCTCTGTCTCGCGATCTCTGGGTTGAGCCTGCCGCTGCCTTGGCTACCAAGCTCCTCAGGTGGCGGCGTCTGCAGTCGGGCTACGGAGGCCGGGTGGCCGGGTTGCGGGTAAGTTCGCGTTTTGCCTTATGACTGTTCCTCCCACTTTGCTTCCCTGCAGTCCCTGTCTAACTTACTTTCCGGGAAACGCCTCGCGCTCCTCCGCGTGCAGGCCCATCATCCCATGGGATTGTGTCCCCGTTCCCAACCTCCAGCAGCCTTTGTCTCGCCCTAGCGGCCCCCCGCGGCCGCTGTCCCGCGGACTGGGGCGCTCTGGCCGCAGGACCGCTATTACTGCTCAGGGATCACCTCCCCAGGAAGCCCTCCTGTGTTAACGGCGGCCCCCTCGGACACTCACACATCTACAATTTCTCAGCCCCTGGGAATAGGCTTCTACAGCTCTGACGTCCCTTAGCCGCTTACCCAGAGAAACTTAACCAGTTCTGGGGCGGGAGAGACGTTGTCAGACTTTTTGAGAGAATAGTGACCAGGACATGAGGATCAACTTGGGATGGATGGAAGGAAATGGAGATGTTCATCTTGGAATAGAAACGCATGGGGGATATAATAGCTTTCTTCAGTTGCCCCGTAGGACGAACCAGAACCTGAGTTGGGGGAAGGGCTTAGCCGATTTTTGCCGTAATTTAAGGAAGTTCTTTCTAGGAGCTGGAAAGTAGTAGTGAAGAGCTCCGATTCTGAGGCCACTCGGGTTGGATTCATACCCCGGGTCCTCTCTATGGCTTTGTGTCCTTAGGCCAGTTTTTGACCTCTTTAAGACTCAGCGGCCTTACTCAGAAAATGGGAGTCATAACAGTAAATGAGAATATGCGTGTAAAGTGATTTTCAGTGTAAAAATTTGGTGAACAGTAGGTTTTATTTCTGATGTCCAGAGAGGTATAATTTTCCCCACTTTATGGATGAGGGAACTGAAATCCTGAGAAGTTAAATGACTTCAAGTCATTGAACATTTATGTATTGAACTGTCCTGTGGGCCCGACATTGTTCAACCTACTGGGACTGCAGCACAGAGAAAGTCAAGCAAGATCACTTATGTGATGGAGTGTGTCTTTTCTAATGAGGGACTCAGGAGCTAATCAAGTAACAGGTACATAAATAAGGGGATTTCAGATAGCAGTCCGTACAGTGTGAGTGAAAATCCGTGAGGAGGGAAAGTAAAATAAGGTCTTTCTGAGGATGTGACATTTGAGCCTGGTCCTGAGTGACGATAAGGAGCAGCCTACACAGTGCCAGTTCCAAGTTGTGCAAAGACCTATAGGCAAGAAAGAACTACATACCATCGAAGGACAAAAAGGAGGCCAGTATGTTCCTAGCATTGTGAGCAGGGAGGAAGGTGGTAGGAGGTGGGTCAGAGCAGGTACACGGGGGCCAGATAATACAGAGCCTTTTAAGCCATGTCCAAGAGTTTGTAGTTTATCCTAAAAGTAATAGGAAGCTTTTAGAGAGTTTGAAGCATACCAGTGATACCTGATTCACATTTTTTTAAAGTATTGGTTATGGTGTAGAGAATGGATTAGAGGGAAGGGAGCAAAAAAGAAAACAGAACAGTTAGGAGGCACTTGGAGTAGACGAGGTGAGTGATGATGGTCACCTTGAGTGAGTAATTGATTAACTTGTGGTCACTGGGCCAGAAAATTACAAAGCCAAAAAATCGAAGTATCTTCTGACTCTTCTACTTGGGCACAAAAATTTCGAGAGTCTGTGGTTCTACAAATTTACTCCTGTTTTATGAGAATGTTTGAAAATCTTTTTCATCTGTATCTACCTTAGTTCTTATACCAGATTGTCATCCCTTTCAGGATAAGACATGTCATATTTAAAATTTCTTATAGCATAGACTCAAACCCCATGTAAATGTTAATGTCGCAAAACATTCCCTTTGACCATTCTTTTCTTCCACACAACCCTTTCATGTAGCAACAGGTAGCAGTATAAATATGTCAATAATAGTGTCTTTGTCTTGGACTCTGTCGTTCTGTTTTGTTTTGTAATTGCAAATGAAACCACGCCTTTCCAAGGTACGGTCATCTTAAGAGCAGTAAAGCAGCGTTGGCTGCCATTCTTGTGAGCCTGAGTGTGTTTGTGGTGTTGCATAAGTCACTACGATAACTAATGCTAAATAATGGGTTCCACCATGAATGGAATGGGAGCACCTCAGGCAAGGCTAGTACAACCCTGTTCTGCAGGTAGAGGTGTTGATTACAAACTGAAAACATCAGGGCTGGACTGACTTTTCAGACTTGGCACCTTTAATTTGTAATAGCATTTTTTAGCATTAAACAATTAAACCTTGTGAACCCTTTCTAGTTAGCTATGATCATGTCCAATTTTACCTAGTAGGTGAAATAGGGTTTTTTTTTTATATATAAGCCAGTTTGAGGGGTGATGGGTGAGTAAAATGGGTGAAGATGGGAAAAGAAGGAAAAATGAAAAAAACAAAACAAAACAGTTTGGTTGTCACACAATGTTTTCTTATCTGATTATTGGTTTCCAGGCTTTCTGAAGACTTAAGGGTTATAAAGATGTATTGCTTTTAAAATTTGACTTGTAATTACATTTTTTAGTATTTTTAATGCATAATATAAGTTAAGGACCTTGCATCATAAATCTTAATATGTTAGGCACTGGGCTGTATTTCTTAGCTGGCTGCCTAACAAACCTGTTAGATTCATTTGGCAATATGATGTACTTTACAGTTATTCCAGCAGCACTAACAGTACTAAAATCTGTTTATTTGGAGGTATTTATTACAATACTTCCTTGTACCTAAACGAGGAAGAGTAATGCATCTGAGCAAATAGTAAGGACAAATGAATTGTAGTTTGCGTGAGAATAGACTGGATAGTCACTGTTTTCCAATTAGTGCAAAAGAGTGGCATGAAGTTGCCTCAGTAGGTCTTGATATCCTAGTTTTTTTATTTCCTGGCAGCTTCCTTTAAACCACACGTTTGAGAGGCTTGTCTGTTTAAAAGATCTTGAATAAGTTTATGTGATTGACAGATAAGGTGCAATGAAAACAGAAATCATTCATCAGTAGAAGGCATTTATTTTTTTCAAGTAACATTTATCAAGATCAGGGCCAGCTTCATGGGTATGTGGCCTGTGCAGTCAGTCACACAAGGCCCTGCTCTTAAAAGGGCCCCTCACTTAGTTGGACCCTGTACTTGGTTTAATATTCGCTGTCACTATCTTGAAATTCTTAATAATTTTTTTTAACAGGGAGCCTTGCATTTTTCATTTTGTACTGCTCACCTCCCAACACATACCCATATATTATATCCCAAATGAACTGATTGACATTCTGACATAATTCAGGCTGAGGCACAATCAGCCTGCCTAGAATAAGCAGAAATTAAAGGTAAGAGAAAAGGCAAAAGGCAAATTCAGGTCTCCTGAGAATAGTCAGGTTGTATGAAATAAGATCAAGGGAAAATTCATACTCCTTACCATGAGCCCTAAGACTAGATAATCTGGACCCTGCCTACTGCTCTAATTTCATCTCCTCTCCCCAGCCACACTTTTTTTTTTTTTGTTCTGTAAACATCCCAAATTTTTTTGCTGCCTTGAGACCTGTTCTCTGCCAGGAATACTTGGCCCCCTCAGTTTTTCTCCTGGCTGACCTGTTACTTGGATCTTAGCTGGAACTCCACTGCCTAGTCTAAATTAGCTCTCCTCTGTCCAGTACCATATGATCATATGACCTTTAAGGATCTGAACTC